TAATAATAATAATAATAATAATAATAATAATAATGATGATGATGATGATGATGATGATGATGATGAAAACAATAAATTTTGCGCTCGTAAGAACGTAGAAATGGTGAGAGATGTTAGAAATAACATTCTGATCAGGATAAGATTACTAATGGCAGGAACAGGCGCTAGTGCTCTACGAAGAAATATCTCAAGCGGCTCAGCTATGCATTTATAATAATAAACAAATATTGGTAGCATTTTTTACACCTACCATACGATTATTTTTAACGACTTTACCATATTTCAACCAGGTTTATAAGAAACTGAGTTACTGCCTGAAGTTTATTATTCAAATAGGTAAAAGGTAATTCTTATTTGCCCACATGATTTTGCCTTTTACTCACAATGACCATTTTATTGATGCTTCGGCTTTTGGTGAGCGAGCTTCAGGTTCAAGTGTATGTCTCCTACCCAAGCACATAAGTCATTTTGCACCTAAGTTCCTTTACATCTGCAATATTTATTACAAATACCGATTTTATAGATAACTAGTTTCATTTCATACCATTTGTATTTGCCTTGAATGTAATTATATAATTAATTTATAAAACGTTTAAACAACAATATGTATATGTAAAATAACGAAAACCAACTAAAATTACATCGTAATTTTGTATTTGTCAGTGAAGAGTTTGGGAAGGTAAAAATTGTGTTCAAGTTGATCACGTCCACATGATGCACCCCGCACAGCGTAAGTGTACGGCGGGTCTGGTCGTGCAGTTCGTCTATAGAATGCCGGCCCGCTTTGTGTTTCGCTGGACTTGTTCTCCCATTTTTGCTGTGGAAGACCCCAAGGACATTTTTCTACTCATTTTAAATTATGGAAATGTGGATTAATGAATTGGTAGGATACGGTCACTTGAATTATTTTTTTGGATGATGATTTATTTGTAGGTCAACGCAGGTCATTGCAGGTCGGGAGGGCCAAGGGTTCCACTCCCATTCCCTTCCGAGTGACTGGATTTTCGTCACTGGCCAGAGAGCTAGGTCCAGTTCAGCTGCTAAATCTAGGAGGATTCTAGCGCCCGGATGCTTCCAAACCCAGGCGATTGCCAGAGCAGTACCCTAACAAACGGCACATGGACTGCGCGCGATTTTTCCTTTCCCTCACTTATCATATATTTACCCTTTATTTACACACCTGCATACACTACACTACGTACCACACGTTTCAGTATATTATCGGTAGTCCCGGCTGGGCGCTGGTGAGTTACCTTTATAGAGGGAACCCAGCAAGCCTACTTATGCCCAGCACCGGATCTCGCCATACAGGGGGGAAGATTACCTCCACCTTCCGTCATAAAACGTGCACTATACTTACGATATTATTGGCCTCGAAATTTGACGCGCCTTGAAACACTAATCAATCAATCAATCAATCAAACGATACCACGACATAGCTGTGAAGTGCATCCTGCCGTTACCACCCCTGGCGTTCAGGGCTGGATGGGTCCTACTATCTAATGAAATCATTCATCAAGAAACCAATATGCCAATCGATAGCATTGCGGCAGCCGCTCCCCTGTTATGTATACCACTCTGCCAAATTAGCTCTTGGACCCCCGGCTGCCGCCGTTGAAAGCCAGTGACTGGCCGCTCCGAGGAGCCAGTGCCACTACGCGAATTCAGAAGGATTGGAGAGGAAGACAACAGAAAAAGGCTGCATATTCATGGCTTCATGTAAGCACGATGTTTAATAGATTCCCCCTGGCAAAAGGATTCAACCAGTTACATCAATACTCTTTCAAGTTTCTTTGTTTTTGAAGTCTGACAACTAGCTGTCTCATTTACGATCAGCTTTGTAAATCTCATGGGAAATTATCTTCTATGTTATGTCTCGCAATTGGGGTGTATCTACTTGTGTGACAAAAATATTTGGTGCTGCTCGTGACATAATGTACCAAAATATTGCAAAGTTTATTATGATTATGGCAACATTGTGGACACTAGCTATAGAGCTAGGTCGAATTCAGCCGCTGTCTAGAGGAGAATTCCAGCTGCCGGCTGCACTGATAAGTACGGAATGGTGATACCTGGATGGGGAATATTCCGCTAGCGTACGTGTAGGTGGGCAGCGGATCTCCCATCGAGCGGGGAAGAACAGCGCCACCTGCCGTGATAAAAAAAACAAATGCACTACACTGACGGGACTAGTTACCATAGCCGTTGAGGAACCCAGAAAGAATCAATAAACAAAGTCCGAAAATAGGTAGTAACGCCATGAGCCAGGGAGGCACAGGAAATGGAATGACAATATGATAGATTGATTGATTGGTGATCCTGGGAGCGTTTACTGCTAAGTCATTAGTTCCGTAAGAGTAGTGCATGTATTTTCCTTGGGAGTTAGCGGAGCTCTTTCCCCGGTAGATAGTGAGTTGCGGCGCCGACCTGCCGTCGGCCTACGGGGTTTTCCTCGACCAAGTATCTCCTAACAGGAGGGCATCGTCCCAGCCGGACAAGCTCTGGGCTCCCGGCAAATGTTAATGTTGTTCATGTAACTACAAGTGTGTAAGGAAAGGGTGAGGGTAGGACAAGGAAGAGGAACGAAAGGTCCCTCGCGATGCTTGGCCCGTTTGTTACTGCTCCTGCATTCCCCTCACGTTAATCGGAGAAACCATGGAAAACTACCGATTAGTGCAGCCAGCCGCTAGAATTTCCCTCGAGATAGCTACAGAATTAGAAGTAACTATCTAGCGAATATCAAAAATCCTGGTAGCGAGGGGACTCGAACTTTAGGATATCCCGATCTGAAACACTGCAGGGACATCAGTTGCCCTGAGCCACCTCTGCCGGTTGGAATGGAAGGGAGGGTGAGTGCGGAGCGCAGGGAGGGAAAAGGCAGCGGCGGGGGCGGGGGGCATATGATGACAGGAGCAGGTGTCTTTCGTGTGCGTGCGTGGAGCCAAGGACGTGCGCGTAGCGACATTCTACACGTCACTATCTGTCAGGGATAAGTCGGAATCGTCACAATCAACCATTCACAAATTGCACTTCAACTGCGTAGACGCGCCCCCAGGATGTTTCTCGAATAGCGAGTGGGGATGAATGGGCTACAGATAGTGTCCAAGCGACTTGATATTTCGTGCAAGAATTTTTCCTCTATACGGGTAAAAAAAATGTATGTTGGAGAGCTGCATATGTAGCAGTGGATTGTATGTGGCTTACCTGTGAATGAGCTTCCCAACACCGAACTTTAAAATGATGACTCGAAGGGCCAGCATGTTTTTTAGGGTCAAGCATGCGAACCCTTTCCTGAAATTGAGTAATTACAGGATATGTCATTAGCAGGGATCTCAGTGTGCAGATAAATTTACGACGTATATTTAACAAATTACACAATATAGTAAAAAGCATTAATAAATTATCGTGTAAAAGAAGATGTTTAGCAATGGTAGCAAGTGTTGTTGGCACATTGGCCTCCAAATTGCTACAAATAGGCCGTGCAATTTTCTTCCCGGTTGACCAAATACTCACTTCTTTCGTATAAAGTTCCTTGACGTAGATTGTCAACTGCTTCCTGTTAGTTCGGAGCGTCACCGCATGATCGCATCAGCTCCTGGGAAGCGCCACGTAAAATATACCATTGTCAAAATTCGGGGAACCCCGTGATTTCCACCTCAGACGCCACGACGTGTCACCAGCTCGCATTGTCATCATTGACAGGATACAGTCGTAACGTGAAGTAAAAACTACGAAATTCGTAAAGAATCGTTTGATTTTGTCTGGACAGAGGTTCTCCAAGTGAAAATCTTTGTCAATTGTGTGTCGTTTCCTTTCCAGAACACTCTTGTCTGATGAAGAACTCTATAGAAGAGGCGATGTTTCGTTGCAGCTTCTACTAATTGCTCTCCCAACTTATCTTACGAGTATTTCGCATCCTCAACAGGTGTTTTGTCAATTGCCGATAATTAAATTGAAGAAAACATTAATTTGAATCACGATTGACAATATCATTATATCCTGTACTCTTGTAGCAGTTCATGGTTTGCAATATATGCAATACAAAAACAGCCGAGAGAAATCATACAATATACTTTATGCTGGACAGCAGCTTCTGAATGACGACAGAGGTAAAATGCTGCAAAGGCTGGGACCTGCATTTGCAGGTGTTGACACATAGATGGCGCCAGCGGCGTCTCCACGAGGGGATATCACCACGCTGTGATCACGATGCCACGAGGTAGCCTCGCGACAGGGTTACAGAGAGCGTAGCGTTCCCCCCTCCCCGCTAGGCGTTAGCATGGCATAGTGGCTGCGTATCCTAGTTGATAGCCTCGCAACAGGGTACGAGGATGTGCGGCACTAATTGTTTCCACTTGGATAAATAACATTCGAATTATTTGCAACGCATTGGGACTACCAGCAGACGCACAAACTGATAGCATTATAGGTTGTACACTGTATAATGAATAGGAACATGGCGCAAGCACTGTTTACGATGTTCACAATTAGTTCTTGCTTCGTGGTTCCACGTACGCCACCTTCACCATGTGGCCAAAAATCAATTGCTCACATCACAGTCGGTTGAAATATTCGAAATGACAGAGCACCAGTTTATGTAATACTGAGGTGTAGATGCTGCATAATTATAAGAAACGCAGTTTGTAATTTACAAATAGCAAAAACACATCACATAGGTGAACCTATATCATGCAACATTATGAAACAACTTTATGAAATCTCGCACCCGGCAACCTAGTTAAGTGATGTTTGTTATATGAAGAGGCAGAAACAACGCGTAACACAGGAGTGTACAAAACAATTAACTAAAGTAATTCCCTTGAAAGAGCGTTACTTCGTGGAGCCCACAACGGGCATGCAACCTGCGTGGAGTACAGAGTCGAACTGAATTTTCCTTGTGAGAAGTGGCGGAGGCGGCGGAGAATTCGCACCTCTAATGTCACATGACCAATAGCATTCAAGCATTTTGATCAAGGTGTTTGTGCAGAGAAAACATACATTTTGGATTCAACAGATAGTAAGTTGTACCAACCTTACAATCATGAATCAGGGTGTGCGTACGATTAAGAACGTAATGTATTTTAACTATATAAAATAAAGAACGTATTGTTTGTTCTAACAATGTATTTCAGTTTGTTGACCTTTCGTTTATATTTAGAACGTGTTAATACACGAGTATAGTAAACTTCACACGACTGTATTAATGCCTATTACATCGAGTTTCATACGGTACTTTTTCTACGACTAATGATAACCTTAAGTTGAATTGTTTCGAAGCAGTTGACCTGCAGGATGCAGCCAAAGCCACCTAGCGGACAGCTCCCTTCCCTGTCTCAGGTGGCTTTGGTTCGCCTGCGAGAGAGTACAAAAGATGCCGCATTAATTCCAACGTTGCCATTTTCGCTTTTTGTCTTATTTTTGGAAGTATCAACTCCCCATTTGATTCACTAGAGATTTTAAACTAAAGAATTGGCCTCTTTTTTAGTGACAACTACACGGTAGCAACACAAAATGACTTGCGTTCTGATGTTAACATCAGTCAAACGTTCCCTCCACTAATTATCACTGCGTGAGTCAAATAGGATCAAAGTGAAATTGCGATCCAATTTATTGTAAATAATATTCCACGTAAAAATTAATCCTAATAAAAGAAATTAAAGTTGACAAGCATAATATATTATTAAATTAAATTTAATGTACACAATCGAATAGTAGACTTGTGAATATGTGTCATTGGTTTCTGGATATAGGAGGCTGCAGCCCATTGAGCCCGTCCCTCGCTTGAGTGCGCTGCAGCAATTGCCATATTCTGATTCTCGACTACTTTCAGCCTACCCCGGGGTGAGTGGGATGAGCTGAGGGGTGCGTGATGATAGAAGATAAGATGCAGGGGGAACAGAAGAACCTCGTGAAGACGTGGTGGGAAGTGTCTTGTCCGCCACTAATTCTACATGTATCGACCGCGCACTTAACTCGTGTAAACAGTAGTAGCGGATGGCAAGACATCTGAGCCTTCGCCACGGGTCCTCTTGAACCTACAAACAGACGCATTCTTAAACAGGAAATCGCCAGGAAATGTTATCTGAGGCATTTGTTCACTCACTTTTAAAACTACATATATATCATTATATATATATATA